CCGAAGAGCCGAAACCAGAGAAAATTGTATTGAAGCCTGTTAGAAAACTTCCTAAAGACGAAGAATCAAAGGAGGAAATCACTTTGAAACCAGTGGAAAAGGAAAAAGTTGAAGAAACGCCGGAAGAGGTCCGATTGAAACCAGTGAAAAAGATGGACAAACCCGAAGAGCCGAAACCAGAGAAAATTGTATTGAAACCTGTTAGAAAGCTTTCTAAAGACAAAGAATCAAAGGAAAGCATTAGTTTGAGACCAGTGGAAAAGGAAAAAGTTGAACAAAAAGCGGAGGAGATCCGATTGAAGCCAGTGAAGAAGATGGACAAACCCGAAGAGCCGAAACCAGAGAAAATTGTATTGAAGCCTGTTAGAAAACTGTCTAAAGACGAAGAATCGAAAGAAGAAATTACTTTGAAATCAGTGGAAAAAGAAAAAGTTGAAGAAATACTGGAGGAGATCCGTTTGAAGCCAGTGAAAAAGATAGACAAATCCGAAGAGCCAAAACCGGAGCAAGTTGTATTGAAACCTGTTAGAAAGCTTGCCAAAGAAGAAGAATCGAAGGAGCAAATTACTTTGAAATCAGTGGAAAAGGAAGAACCCGAAGACATAAAGTTACAACCAGTATCTGAAATGCTAACAGAAATTATAGAGGAAAAATCCAAAGATAAGGAGCCAACAGAAATAATCGAAACTCCTTGGCGACGTAAGCGAACAAAGAAAGTTGTTGATTTTAAGGATGAAGTAACAATAGTGTCTATTGATCAAGAAGAATCTGTTATAGACGTTTGTGAAGAAAAAGAGGCAATAATAATTACAACTGAAGATAGTCAGGATCTATTTGAACGAAAGATGGAACCTACGCCATCGTTTAAAGAAGATAAGCTAACAGACGAAGTGATTACAAGTGAAGTTTCATGGAGAAAGAAGAAACAAATACATTTAAAAACAGAAGAAGAGAAAGAAATTGTTGTGTTGAAACCAATTGGAGAAGTGGAAAAGTCAGAGCTAAAAATTAAACAACCTGAAGAACATGTATTAGCTTTTATAGAAGATAAAAAATTACCTGATGAAATGTACGAAGAAGACAAAGTTTTCGAATTAAAATCCGTAAAGCTTACGGAGCAAATAGCAGAAATTTCAGAAGGGAAAGATGAAATCATTACTGAATCAGTTGTAACAAAATCTAAGGTAAAAGAAAAAGTGCCCGAAAGAATCACTTCTAATATTATCGAAGAAGAAGCTGCCAAGTTACAAATTAAAGCAGATATCACACAAATAGAAGACCGTAAGAGAAAACGTAGACAACGTACTCAGGTTGATATATCAGTTACAGATAAAGACAAAACGATTGCTCCAAGATTTATTCAAAAATTACAACCTGTTATCGCTGAGTTGAAAAAACCTGCCCAATTTACATGTACTGTTATAGGAAATCCATTGCCTGAAATTTCTTGGTATAAAAATGAGCAAGAACTCCATGCTAGCGAAAAGTATACTATGACTATATTTGAGACAACGGCAACCTTAGAAATTACAAACGTTAAAGAAGAAGACGCTGGAATATATTCTTGTAGAGCATCTAATCCAGCTGGCGTGGCAACATCCACTGTCAACCTTGTGATATTCGGTAATAATAATATATATGAATTGTTTAATTTTCATGATTTGGATTTATTTTAATATCTACTTAGTTGTTTAATATTTTTATTTGCCCTATTAAATTTCTTTTATTTCTAGATATAGGAATATTGTGAGATATATAATCCTTATAATCTTTTCGTAAAATTAGATAGGCACATCCTTTACTATACAAATACTTAAACGTCATCATCATTTATACATATATTGATAACTTTTAAATATATCAATAACTTTTAAAATAAGAAGTAACATCCATATATAAATATAAATAGATTAACAATGATTTACGGGATAACTAATATAAAGTAGATATATGTGTGACATACGTTAATTATAAACATTAAATATCTCATATTTTCAAGAATACATGATATTTATCCTTTCAGAAAAAGAAGAAGAAGGCATAGCACCGCATTTCTCAACGCCTATTAAACCGTTAATGATTGAAGAGCATACACCTGCCTTATTAGAATGTGTTGTAACCGGTATGCCAATACCTGAAGTGAAATGGTATCGCGACGAAAAAGAAGTAGAACTAAATGAAAGAACGAAGATAACTTTCAACCCAACTACTGGAGAAGCTAAACTGCAAATTTTAGAACCAATGCCCGAAGATGAAACAATTTATCGTGTTCGTGCTATAAATAAATATGGCCGCGCTGAATGCAGAGCTAATTTAGTGATCAGTAACATCATTAAAGTGAGCAAACCAGTTGTTCTCAGAGCACCGCGAATTACACGACCTTTGCCCGCTTTAATAATTGAACGCGGAAAGTGTCTGAAATTTCTAGCTGATTTTGATGGCATACCGAAACCAGAAGTCAAGTGGTTCCGCAATGGTATTGAAATTACACCGACTAACAAATGCAAAATAGACATTTATGAAAGTACAACCGAATTAAATATAATAGAAGCAACAAACAAAGATAGCGGCAAGTATGAGATAAGAGTTCAGAATAAAGTCGGTGAAGCGAGAAGCTCGAGTTCTGTTACTGTTAAAGAACACAAAGACACTATGAGCGAAGTAAAAGCACCAATGTTTGTGGAACCCATTCAGCCTCAAATTGTTGCAGAAGGAGAAGTTGTTATCATGGACATACGAGTGGAATCATATCCAGCAGCATCTTTTCAGTGGTTCCATGAAAGCAAGCCTCTTGAGGTATTTTTTCTAATTTCTGTGCTTGTTTAAAATAAACCTTTAATTCTTACATGTAACGGTATATTATCCAAAATTTCATAAAATTAATAAAAGACATAATTTGTTGCAGTCGACACCACAAGTAAGAATTGTGACTCAAGAAAATCGATCGATCTTAATGGTGAAAGAAGTCACATCAGAATTTGCTGGCAATTACACATGTCGTGCTGAAAATGTTGGTGGCTCTGTTACTTGTACAGCCACCGTTAATTTGATGGAAATAACATGGGAAGAAGCAATTGAATTAGTCTCACCGACATTCGTAAAGAGATTATCACCTGTAAAAGTTATGGACGGTGAGAGTGTTAATTTGATCTGCGTCGTTGAAGGGAAACCAACACCCAGAGTAGAATGGTATCACAACGACATGCCAATTAAAGAAGGAAAAGAAATTACAATTATTCAGGATATGGAGGGTGTCTGTAGTTTAGCTATTACTGAAGTATTCCCGGAAGATGCTGGAGAATATACCTGTCGTGCTGTGAATCCTGTTGGCGAAGCTGTCTGCATGTCAACGCTCATTGTTGAAGGTATATTATTTGACGCAAACAGCTATGGTTTTAAATGACTGTCTATTTTATAAAATTTACTTTTAGCGTACGAGTATGTGCCGGATTCTGAAATTGCATCTTCAATAGTCGCGACATCTCTTACCACAGGACAGAGTGGATCAGAAGAAGACCTTCTATCTCCGAAAGTACAAAATTTAACATATCCAACAATATATCCTATAAAATTATGCTTACAAGGGAACCTCTCGAGGTGATAAATTCTGATTTTAATGAAACTTCGTGAACTTGTAGCTTACATAAAGAGATGAATTTAGAAAATATCAGTTGCGGCCCAAAAACGATTTGAAGGGATGAAATCACCCCTAACGTATATAGCGGTTTTCAGCTTTTTCCGTTATATCTCGAAAAATATTTGAGATATAAAAAAATGTTTTATACAAAAGTTTTACAACAAAATCCGCTGTATTCATTCGCGTTTTTAGAACAATTATTTACCAATTTTTTGTCAAAATTTTCGAAAAAAAAATTGTTAAATAATTATTCTAAAAAAATATCATTGACGTGAGTAAATAAAGGTAATTTTATTGTAAAACTTTTGTATAAAACATTTTTTTTATATCTCGAATAGTTTTCGAGATATAGCGGAGAAAGCTGAAAATCGCTTCACACAAGAGGCCTGATTTCATCCTTCAAACTCTATGATGGCAGTAATTTTCAAAACTTTTTAAAAAAATTATTATTTTTAAAGATATTCATGATAGATAGAGGTAATTCTATTATGAAGCTACTTGCAAGTAAATGTCTATAATGAAAATGATAAAATGCTATCATTTCCACACCACCTGTCATGAGGTAGATAGCATGGTGCGCTTTTTTTATAGTGGTGTCCCCAGTAGACCTATTCCACTCTAATTTTTTTATGCACGAATTATTCCAAATGCCGTCATTCCTCCGTTGATTACTTTGGAACATTAAAAAATTGATATTTAAAAAGATTTATTATTATTATAAAAAGATATATTATTATTATTACATAAAAATATATTCCGGCGAGTAATATTAAAAAAATATTTATTAAAATATTGTGAAATTACAACATCCTTCTCCTCATTTTCCTCAATATGTCACTAATTTAATAATGCACAGTTAAATAATTTAACTCAAGAAGATGTTTTAATTTGACTCTAATTTATTTACTTACATACGTCAATGTGAACGTTGCTTATGTTGAAATTAACTACAGAAATGAATTGATTAACATTTTGATACACATGGAAGTAAAAAGATAATAAAATGTTATTTAACTCAAGAAACTCGGGGTTGCCATTGCTCCTTTGATATCTAACAGTGATGAGTTACCGTACCATATATTTCCTGTAATGTATAACCACATTTTTTGTTATAAAGAGCAATGAATGTATTTATTATAAATTTTAAAACTACTTATTAATCTCGTTATTAATACTAACATGATTATTATATGACAAAATGTTCGCAATTATGATATTCTTCAAAAAAATGCTGCATACAAAAATATTGCTTGCATCAAGAACATCGTATTACAGCAGGTGCACCACATATGGAGCAGCGAGGTATTTCTTGAATATCCTTTCCGTTGAAACAAAAATCTACTGGAGTTTCGAATTGTGGCGGCCGTTCTTCGATGTATCCACTCTTATACCAGGCATATTTAAAAAGATTATGAAATCTCGGAGAAGATAGTTGTATGTGCGTTTAAGATTGTAATTTGATGATATTATTTCTCAAATGTAAATTAATATCATAATTTAATAATAAAATTTAATAAAAATGACGCTACTGTCGCTTGATTAATAATATTAATCAAGCACATACATCATATGTGATATAAAAATGACACTACTGTCCCGTTAATTAAAAATATTAATCAAGCACGTACATCATATGTGATATAAAAATGACGCAACTGTCGCTTGAATATTTTTGTATGCAACATTTTTTTGAAGAATATCATAATTGCGAACATTTTGTCATATAATAATCATGTTAGTATTAATAACGAGATTAATAAGTAGTTTTAAAATTTATAATAAATACATTCATTGCTCTTTATAACAAAAAATGTGGTTATACATTACAGGAAATATATGGTACCGTAACTCATCACTGTTAGATATCAAAGGAGCAATGGCAACCCCGAGTTTCTTGAGTTAAATAACATTTTATTATCTTTTTACTTCCATGTGTATCAAAATGTTAATCAATTCATTTCTGTAGTTAATTTCAACATAAGCAACGTTCACATTGACGTATGTAAGTAAATAAATTAGAGTCAAATTAAAACATCTTCTTGAGTTAAATTATTTAACTGTGCATTATTAAATTAGTGACATATTGAGGAAAATGAGGAGAAGGATGTTGTAATTTCACAATATTTTAATAAATATTTTTTTAATATTACTCGCCGGAATATATTTTTATGTAATAATAATAATATATCTTTTTATAATAATAATAAATCTTTTTAAATATCAATTTTTTAATGTTCCAAAGTAATCAACGGAGGAATGACGGCATTTGGAATAATTCGTGCATAAAAAAATTAGAGTGGAATAGGTCTACTGGGGACACCACTATAAAAAAAGCGCACCATGCTATCTACCTCATGACAGGTGGTGTGGAAATGATAGCATTTTATCATTTTCATTATAGACATTTACTTGCAAGTAGCTTCATAATAGAATTACCTCTATCTATCATGAATATCTTTAAAAATAATAATTTTTTTAAAAAGTTTTGAAAATTACTGCCATCATAGAGTTTGAAGGATGAAATCAGGCCTCTTGTGTGAAGCGATTTTCAGCTTTCTCCGCTATATCTCGAAAACTATTCGAGATATAAAAAAAATGTTTTATACAAAAGTTTTACAATAAAATTACCTTTATTTACTCACGTCAATGATATTTTTTTAGAATAATTATTTAACAATTTTTTTTTCGAAAATTTTGACAAAAAATTGGTAAATAATTGTTCTAAAAACGCGAATGAATACAGCGGATTTTGTTGTAAAACTTTTGTATAAAACATTTTTTTATATCTCAAATATTTTTCGAGATATAACGGAAAAAGCTGAAAACCGCTATATACGTTAGGGGTGATTTCATCCCTTCAAATCGTTTTTGGGCCGCAACTGATATTTTCTAAATTCATCTCTTTATGTAAGCTACAAGTTCACGAAGTTTCATTAAAATCAGAATTTATCACCTCGAGAGATTCCCTTGTTAGTGTAATATTAGATATTGAAATTAATTTTGACTTTAGGAAACTCCTATCTTCGACACTGATATAGAAGAATCTGTACCAGAGATAATTAAGAAGCTTCCTCAGTTAGTTCCTACTAAAGATGGGGAATTAACTAGGTATGTTTAACACATTCAACGAATAATAATTATATCAAATACGAATTAATATGTACACCTGATAAAAAAGTTTATATATAATTATATATGTACATATATGCACATATAATTATACAGGGTCTTCAAAAAGTCTGGAAACGGTCGAATATTTCAAAAATGAAGCATTTTTGAGAAAAATGTTTCAGACAAAAATTGTAAGATTTAAAATAATGTATTTACTGATCTAATCAGTTTGACCTTGGGTGGCGTCGCCAAGGCCAGATCAAGGTCACGTCGATTTTTTTATACAGGATCTTCAAAAAGTCCGGAAACGGTCGAATATCTCGAAAATGAAGTATTTTTGAGAAAAATGTTTCAGACAAAAATTGTAAGATTTAAAATGATGTATTTACTGATCTAATCAGTTTGACCTTGGGTGGCGTCGCCAAGGCCAGATCAAGGTCACGTCGATTTTTTTAAATGGAAACCCCCTATTTTTCATTACATTTCTTGAAAAATCGGGTTATTGCCGTGTTTTTATCCATTGCTAATGTCAACGTTTCGTGAACCTTGCTGTTTACTTTATCAGGGCGAGGAGCACATTGATACTCCTCGCCCTGATCAGTGCGCGCTAATGAAAATAAAACATAAAGCGAGTGTCAATGAAGCGTTATATTGAAGTGTAAAGGAAGTGTAAGAGGGTATAGTAAAGAAAACTTAAACGACACTCATAAGAAGCGAAAATTGAAACATGGAATATAAAGGAAGCGTCAACTAAAAAAGTTAAAAAAGCATAAATAAAGCGTAGATAAATTCTTTGTCAAGCACGAGCAGAGTGTTAATTGATTGTAAACGGAGCGTCATTAGGCTGAATAGAGAACGTAAATGGAGCATCGTCGAGTCCTTAGATGAATGTGAATAAAATTTGATCGAGGTCCTTGGTAAGCAAATGATAATATTTTAAAATATTTTAGTTTAGTCCGGAAATATTTCGGTGCACAGTTCGTTAGATTACAATTGTGGTATATATGTCTAGTACATATATATCGTATTTAGTGATTCAAGATTGATTTATTTAAAGCATTTTAAGATCTAGCTTCGACCGTATAGAGCTCTTATTTATCGGTTGTGTCTCTCACATACGTGGTCTAAAAATGATATTATTATTTTAAAATATATTTCATTTATTCGGTAAACATCTAAAAAAAAGTATTATGCTTTTATCTTGGAGCCCTAGAGGTGTTGTGGAGTGTTTGGGAAACATTAATGAAAAAAAGTATTTAAAACGTGTAGGAAATGTGACAGATGTGTTTCGGGCACACTTTATAGAGTGTTTGGGGAGAGTTCGGGGAGCGTGTATGAATATTCAAAACCACTAAAAGTCAATGGAAAGTCGATGAAGTGTTTAAGAAGCGTTAAAATTCTTTGTTCACACTTCTTTGACGCTTCGATAAGCTTTACATTTTCACTAGGCTCCTTGCCCTAATGAAGTGAACGGCAAGATTCACGAAACGTTGGCATTAGCAATGGATAAAAACATGGCAATAATCCGCAAATCTTCTGGTATCTTTTCAGACATTATCCATATTGGCAAGCCGTTATGTATAAATCCCGAATTAGTTACTAAAAATATGTAACTATATTACCGTTACAATTACCAAAAAGAAAATAACGCAGTTACCAATAAAGTTATCAAAAAAGTTGTAACTGTAACTTCGTTACAAGTAACGAGTTACTTCCATTCCCTGTTTATAATTATATACATTTATATTTTTTTATCACGCACGCATATGTTATGTATATACTATGTGTTCATGTGTGACTGCCATTTTTGTTACGTATACAGATTGGAAGTAAAGGTGAAAGGCAAACCAAAACCGAAAGGAAAATGGTATAAAGAAGGAGTAGAAATAGTCTCATCACAAGAATTCCAAATTGAAGAATTTGAAGATGGTACATCAGTATTAACAATCGCCGAAACTTTCCCCGATGACACTGGTGAGATCACATTTGAAGCTTATAATCCACTCGGTGTATCAACTACAACTACGTATTTATCAGTAGAAGGTAATATCATTTTCTCTACAAATCTCAAAGGCTTTACTAATCTAGTTAAGTGTTAAGTCATATTCTTTTCAGCTGCGCTCTTCAATCGGAGAAGCGTCGAAGCTCTGTAGCATCCTAATAAAAAGCCCTTCATTATCCTATGTTCCTTACATCAACTACAACAAACACTTACAACATCCTCGACTACACTGTCTTTTGTCTTATTTTTTATATATTTCGAGCAAACCTCTTTGGTCTTGCCCAAATTCTTCTATCTAATTGCTAATAAAATAGGAAGGGTTTGGTATACATCCGTTATATCTTTCTTATATTCGTTTTATTGATTAGGTATACTCGGAACAAAAGAGTACAGAAAACCAGAGTGGGTTACACAGATGGAAGAAATGCAAGAGGCTTTAAAAGGTAAGAAACTCATGTAAAACTCATGTTTATCATTTGAACACGTTCAATTGCATGCCGCATGATGCAGAGTGCAGTTTCTCAAGAGACAGTCTGAATGACATTATGCATTAAGAAACAAGAGAGTTCAAAAAAAGTTAACTGTGACCAGCGACTTTTCAACAAAAACCTTTACCACCATTAACAATGATACCAAATTACTTTTTGATGACAAAGATGAAACTTCTTCAAAAGAATATTTTTTATACTCAAGGCAAGATACTCAGATTCTATGGATACTGACCAAAAAGTAATATTGCGATACAATATTCTTGGCAGATAGATGTTTCTTACAAGGAACAACCTCCAATAATATTTGATTCAGTAAGACAATTACAAGAGAAGAAGCAAGATAATGGACCTATTAAACATAAGTATTTTTCCTATATAACATTATTAGAAAATAAAAGAAATCCACATGTCAGTTTTGTACTTAGTAAAGTAGTAAAACACGATCTTGCTATCGAATACATTACGGGTATATTCCACTTGACGCTCGCAATGTTCATAGAATCATTTCATCCTTGTTGTTCATCAAATGTTAAAGAAGAATAAATAATACTCGCGAGTATTGTGAGCGCCAAATGAAACGCTCCTTATGTCGTCACTTAGTAATCGAACTGAAACACATGATGTACACTCTAAAATCTTTGAAGTGAAATTTATTGCTAAAGAATGACAACTGAACCAGCATTGAAAAGAAGTGGCTCAATTGTCAATTTTTAAGATTGAGATTTCATTCTTTATAGTTAGATTTCACTCCAAAGATTTTAGAGTATAAGAATACCAGCTGTGACAATCCCGAGGATGCGTAGTGGATGACCAAAGAAATTGACTTCAAATTCCGTAAGCCAATATAAAACTGCTATTAGAAATTCGTCACCACTCAGAAATTAGTCCCAAATTACATTCAGCCGCCATTATGCGCAATAGCACACCTTGCGATTCCTGTAATAAAGCATAAAGAATATAAAAAATTTGTAGTGAAAATATTAAATGTGTCAAAACAATTATCTCCTATCAAAAAAGATGCCAAAATAATGCTAAAAAAAAGTTATCGGTAAGTCGCTTTGCAATTATCTTTTAGCAATAAAGACATGTTTAAAAAAGCGAACAATTCGATATTTAACGAAAAGATCTCGATATATTGATAAAATGCAGAAAAAAGAAAATCATTCTCGATTTTTGTGAGTTCCCACTGTCAAAGTGCGGAAAAAAAATTTACGAATATATATAGTTCCACTCTGATAAACAGATAAATTCTCCAGAGACCCAAAAATTATCGTTATATTTACCATTAATCGAAAAAAAAACCATAATGCCAAACATGCATGATCAAAACACAAACTCGACACAAAGATATTTAAAAATTACATTCCCGAAAAACTTGTAGTTCAGTTGATTTCATTCATGACTATAAAAGAAAATATCAAATATATCCCAAGTCTAAGATTCCTGTTTCAAAATACTCCAAAGAGAGACAACTCGAGAATCATGAATCCACGGATATTTCCATTAGAGTTGAGAGAAATTGATCTGGAATCTTTCCAACAATTAAATATAGCGGATAGTCAAGAAGAATTACAAAAAATTTTGCTACTAAAAGTTAAGCGGCGGAAATTTTGGATTAGCGGATAATACATCTATATCTAATAGAGAATATTACATCAAAGATGAAAAAAGCATGATATCAGGTAGAATTCGTTTTAAGACTAACGATAGAGATGCATCATTTAGAAGTAACTGGTGTATGATTTTTCATTTGTGTTTATCTAATTAGACTACTGACAAGACGAGATTAATTCAAATAATCTTGGTGTTAAATACAGAATTTGGTAAGAAACTAATTAATTTAATGTATTTTTATTGTGAGTTTTTCATAACTGCAACTTCATAACATTTCAGCTACACAAGCTGTTCCACGATTTATCCAAGAAATAACGGACGTTTATACTAAAGAGGGAGATATCGCTTTGTTTGAATGTATCTACTCTGGTAATCCCAAACCAGGTAATTACTTACACATCGCAAAGATTTTTAAATTTAGTTATAAAATTGTTTTAATTAATTATTTCTTTAATTTATAGATGTTGTTTGGTATAAGAATGATAAGCTTATAATGAATACGAACAATGTAAAAATACGTATATTTGATAAAGAAAACAGAACTACTCTAACAATTAAGCAAACTACCAGAGAAGATGATGCCACGTATGTTTGTAAAGCTACCAATGAAATTGGTATGATAGTAACAAAAGCCAAACTTCATATTGATACTATCAGCGAATCATGGTTAATGCCGGATGACATCAAAGAAGAAGAAAAGCTGGATATAAAGCTTAAAAAACAAGAAGAGAAACCGCATAGAAAGAAGAAAACTGAATTAAAGAAGGCAAAGGAGATCAAGGAGAAAGTAAAAACTGAACGTCTCAAAATTGAGAAAGAAGAAATCCGCGAAGAGAAACTTATTCCGAAGGAACAGATAGAAGAAAAGTTAGTAATCCTCCATTTCATCTTGTTCAGTATATTCCAAAGTCTTTAATTTGTTCCGTTTTTAAATTATAATTTTTGCCGTTTGTACTTGCAGAAGAACTATCGATGTTGAAGAGACTCAACTATTAGAAACTACAGATTTCATAGAAGATAAACCCGAGGAGGTATTATAAGATGTTCAGTATAGTTACATCTCTTTCAGACTTTCGCGAACTACTATTTATCTTGTATTTACATTTTAGGTTTCTAGAGCACGAAGAATAGTACCGATCCAAGAACCAATTGTAACTGAAGCAATAGCTTCTTTAAAGAAAATTGACGATCAAAAACCACGAGAACATATACCTAAATTTGAAGAACGTGCCAAACAAATTGTCGAAGAGCAAGAAAGTGTTGTCGTGTCAGAAATCACGAGTGAAGATATTGCTCCTGATTTTACCATCGAAACAAAACTCGATCACGCTCAAGTTATTTCGGAAACTTTACAGAAAGTTGCAGTTTCTGAAGCACATGTAGAAAGTAGTTTGCAAAAAACGAAACTTATAGAAACAAGGCAAAAAAAGGTAAAGAAAATAAAAACCGAAAAAATTAAAGAAGATATTACTGTAAAAGAGATTGTGGAGCGACAAAAAGAAAGCATAGCTCGGGAAGTCGATGAGATAATGGAGGTACTTGATGCGACAGAATTTGGTCCGGGAGAATCTCCTCTTCGAGAACTTGCGACAATTGGCTACTTGGTTCGACAAGGTGTTTCCGTAAACGAGATTAACGAATGCCTTTACAAGACTGAGATTTTTCCCGCTCTAAAGACACCCGATGCTCAAAATGCTTTAGTTCAATTAGTAGAAAGAAAAGGCCATGGTCCCTTGATCACTCAAGTACTTACCGAAGAGACGACAACTGACGAAAGTTTCGTTGCAGCGACAGTTGGTTTTCGTGCTTTTATGAGAATGGTTGAGCTTCAACATGCAACTGTGGAAGAAGTTATTATACATTTTGCTCCAGAAGATTTCAAACCACGTGCTTGGGAAGTTACAGAAGTTTCCGAGGTACAGATATGACATCCAAACATTGTATGAACTTCTAATAATTATTAGAAAAAATACTGTATCTTACTCTCCATTTTCCTTAATAAAATACATGTTACAATATTTCTAAAAATAATAATTTCTTTTTTTATTTCTTTTCTCAGGTTGACACTGAGCAACATGCTACGGAAAGAATAGATATTGTTCGCAAAATGGAAGTTCATTTTATGGGTAAGCCCAATTGCAGACTTTGTGATTTATTCATATAAATATAATTTATTTATTACGTACACATAAGATTTGGATTTATTTGAATTTTCTTCGATATTTTCTTTATGTACATTATGTACATTATTGTTTTTCGTGTAAAGAGTAAATCATTTTCAGATAGAATAAGTATTTTTTATTGCAGAGAGGAAGGACGAAAGGAAAGCTACTCACATACAGGATATTCGAGAAATTAAAGGTTTGGAATAATAAATTTTGACGTATCTATTAGATATCTATTTGTATAACTTACCAACTTAATAAATTGGTTTTTCGCTATAATAAATATACTATTGCTATTATTTGATTATAGTTTTATAGTTTTAGAACAATTAACGTTATATCACATGTATTTGTAATTTTAATTAATTTAATCTAGGATGGATACAAGTCTCCATTTATATATACCTAGTATCTTATATAAAAAAGCAATATACTTTTCAATCTCTCTTTATGTTATAATAATTTTGTAGAAATTAAAGTTTTAAAATGTATCATGGTAATAAGACTCAATAAATTAAATATAAATGGGTAATAGAGGGCTACGAGCCAAGATTAATACACATGGTCAAATTTAAAGAATAAAAATAAAATAAACATACAATAACTTTAATCTAAATGCCGGTAATAACAACAAACGTTTCGATCCGCATCAGATCCTTCTCAATGTTAGAATTGAATACAAAAAAAATATACAAAAAATTAAAAATTAAATTTGACCATATGTATTAATCTTGGCTCGTAGCCCTATTACCCATTTATATTTAAAGTTTTAATTTAAAAATGCTATATCTTTTGATATTTTAAAAATATCTTTTTATTTACATATGTATAAAAATATTAACACAGAGAAAAACAATATACAAAGGCAGGATGTTCATGGCTGTAACAGTCACTATTTTATTATGTTTTCAGATGTATGAAGCTTTACTTGATCGAATAATAGCTGTGCAATTTTTTCGCTTACGCCGCTATGCTTTCCACACGCGACAAATCCTATTTCCTTTTCTAATACAATATACAATTACTGTCACATTTTAATCAGCTACTTTTCATATCAGCTTCGAAATCAATGCTTCACGACTTGATGCTCACTTGCGCTGCCTTCAAATGTAAGTTCTACCGATATCTTGCTCAACATAAAATAGTATGAGACATAAAAATGTAGCATGATTATAAAATTAATAATGTTACAGTCTACTAAATTTACAATAAATTTTACACGTTTCTGAAAATCCAAACACTTGTTACTTGTTTGTTTATTGAGCATGTTCTTATTGTAATCAAATACACGCTCTATAGTCATGGAATAAAGTATATGCAAGATATAAAGTGTATATGTGCGTGTGCGTGTGCGTGTGCGTGTGCGTGTGCGTGTGCGTGTGTGAACGCAAGAAAATAAAAACATCACGCAACACTCACGTCTGACACAAAATTCTCACATACTTTCCACAGAATACGAGGACACACGGCAGGCACACACAACATTGCGCAAACGCAAAGATAAAAAACCAAGGGAAATTGAAGAAACAACACAAGATAGGGAAGAGATAGGGATTCAATCTATAAAAATCGAGGAAATCGAAGAGATTGATAAAGAAAGAAAAAAGGAAGAAGTCGAAGAAGAGATTATTGAACTCGAACGGGATTCAAAGGGCAGATTGATTCGTAAACAAAAACAAAAAGAAATGGAAAAACAAATAAACATAGAAGAGGAAGAAGAAACTATTAAAAAAATTAGAAAGACATTAATACCAAAACGATCAAACATTGGTAGAGATGAGATACAACTGGAAGAGATAGAAGAATTTGAAGTAACAAAAGATCAATTACTGCCGTCTATGGTTTTAAATGTATCTAGTCAACGAAATCAAGTGATACCATTAGATCATACAATCGAACAAGCACCTGGCAAACCCGAATCAGAGAAAGCTAAATACACATTAGACACTGTTATCGCGCTAACGGAACAAATAACATCAGTACACGAAAAAGTAATTGATCAAGTGGCAAGTACCAAACCTATCGAACGTAAAGCGTCAATATCAATATCATCGATAGAACCATATTCTACTATGGAAACTACTGCACATATATCCACTAATGAATTTTCTGGATCTTTCAAAGCTACTTCTTATGAAGCTACACCTTCTGTAATAACGAAAGAAAGTCTTCTCATCAGCGAAACATTGACTCACGATGAAAATGTATCAAATCTAACTTTGACTATACCAGAAACTAGTCGAAAAGCAGATGTGCAGGTCACTGTCCAAGAAGCTACAACTATTAGAGAGACCATAGTTAATCAAAGCGAAATATCGACCGAAGATTTTATAACACCTTTAAGCGTTAAAGCGGAAGATATTGTCTTACCACAAATATCACTTTCGGTTTATGAAATACAGGAAGGTTTGGTTGAAAATAAATTAGAACCTACGAAAACGGTACTTACGAAACCTCGAGTTAACGTCAATGCAATAGAACCGTTAATAGTAGAAGAAATTCATTCTGAGGATAAACCAGGAAAATATTATCCGGAGTTAATAGTACCTACCGAAGTCGCTACCAAATCGATAATTTCGCAACGACAACGCGTTACCGAAGAGATGAATGCACCCGAAAAAGAAGGAACATACATTTCAAATAGATTACCGCCGAGTCAAACGGCCCAAATTGAAATTTCCTATGGAAATGAAACGGCTGTTATTCGTCATGATCTCGTACAGGAGCGTGAAGGTGAATATATTCCCGAGCGTAAAGTAGATTCTTTCGAAGTTACTCCAAATGTTACTCTTTTGGAAGGAGTCACGATATCAATGATCGATATTCAACAAAAAGAAGATGATTTGACGATCGAAGAGAGTAAACAGATTACAGCCGACTTGAATGTCGTCGAAATTATGTCAGCTGTGACGGTGGAAACGATGACATCTGAAAAAGAACAAGATTATCAACCTGAAGAAAAGCCTACTACTAAACTAGCCGTTACATCGATTTCCCCATTGGAGATTGGTTCTGTAACAGACACAATTGTTCAAGAATCTGAAGGAACTTATAGTGCCGATCAGAAACCGTTCGAAGTATTGGCGGAAACATCAGTTAGACCGGAGGAACACATATTGATATCTCAAGTTCAAACCGCAGACTATCCCGCGGATTTGAAAGATATACTCAAGTATGTCATAGAGAGCGGTGTTGTATCCATTCAATTAACCGAAGCGAAAACTGTCCTTGAAACGCTCATTCATGATCGAGAGACTAGCATGAAGGAAGATGCTAAACCGGAAATCCATACCATCGAGATGATCTATGATGCTATCAGAGGTATTGAAATATCGCAAACGACTTTTGGAGAAAAAGAAGCCGAATTGAAAATTTTTGAAATGCCTGAATCACATCGCGGAAAAACAGTACCGACTCATCCACTGATCTCGCTTGAAGTTCAGGAAACCCAACCTGAAAATAATTTAGGTAAAGTCATGAAAGAAGCCGTATCAACTGCTACAGCTCAAATCGAAGCAGTCAGTTTGCAAGAAACAATTGTTGATGAGACTGTTGCAGCAGAAGATGTAGCTCCGACGAGGAAAGATAAGACTCCTGAAACAATGACCGCAGTAATTTCAATGAATCAGATCGAGAGCTTACACACTACAATGATTGTAGCGGATGAAAAAGAAAGTGAATATCTTGATATGACCGATGTTAAAAGTGCGTTTGCAAATACTGAATATATGACGCAAGTGGCTCCTATATTCGAACAAGTAAGAACAGAATCGCCGACCGAAGAGTATCTAGCGGTAGACAAACCTGTGAGTGGAAAAGCATATCCATCTCATGTTCCTATAGAAACTATCAGTATCGTTATGCAAGAAATCGCAGAAAAGGAAGATGTTTATAAAGCAGACATAAAACCCGAGGAAAAAATGGCGAACATTGAACTCACGGAGACAAGACCTGGCGCCAGCGTTCTAGAAATAATTCCACATGATCTTGAGAATATTTACACGCCAGATGCTGGACCACAAACTCATACGGTTGAGTCGTCCATAACTGGTCACACCATCGCGTCAAAGGCAGAGATCTTAGTGGAACAAAGTGCTGGAAAAATAAGAAGTGATCTACCAAAATCAGGTAAAGCAATAGTACAACAAGAAGCTCTAGAAGAATTGATAGTAACAGAAACAAATGTCGGCGAAGCAGAACGAATCAGAGATGAGGATGCGAGTCCTGTTAAACAAAATGCCGCACTTCAAGTATGCACTCAATCTGAAAATTTGACTGTCACTGAAGTAACTACCGTATTGAAGGAGGAAGAATTGTTAATGAAAAAGTTACCAGACGAACAAAGGGTTATGTTAGATATAACTGAGGGCCATGAAATAGCTGAAACACAGGAGATGATTCTTGCGAGCAATATAAGTACATTGAAAGAAGAAAAACCACATCAAGAAAGTGTCAATCAATTGCAAAGCGGACTAGATGTTGTACAACAAATGGAAATATCAGTATCTGAGAAAGAATCTCCTTTAGAAACGAATGTAAAACCTGATATTAAAAAGGTTGGCATTACTTTTCAAGAAGGAGAAAGTTTGACAATTGAAATTACGCATTCTGAAGACAAAGAAGATATATTTAATGGAAAACAGGCGCCAAAAACAGCCGAAGCTACAATAGACGTAGTAACACAAAATATAGCATCGACATTTGAGATTGTTAGTGGTGTTGTTCCAACTGAATTATCTACCAAACCTATCCAAGGTGCACATCCTAAAACGATATTATTACCATTTGAAACAGCCGTTGCTGAAGAAGTGCAAACAAGAGAAACTGAAAAGCTTTTTCCTCATACGTTGGTACCAGAGAAAAAAGCTAATTTTGAATTTGTAATGGGTGAAGTTCTTGTTGTTTCTTCTGTAACAACGGGTGACAAAGAAAGTACGCTTGCAGAAATAGAAAAACCACAATTGAAATCTGCTACTTTCGATATTCCTACTTATACCGTGGCAGAAGCTGCTGAAATAACCGCAACTGACAACATCAGCGAATTAATACGCGAAGAGACGATCTCCGCAATGGCTATGACCGAGCATATAACTCATCATAGTATCGTTACATCCGAAATGTCAACTGGTGACTCAGAACAGCTTATGCTTGATTTCGTCAAACCAGATAAAAAAAAAGTAGATATATCGTTTGAAGAAGAAACAAGCATAACAGTGACTGAAACAATTGCGTCTGATAAGGAGCGAGAATATTTGAAGAAACCGGATGTTCCAGGTGAAAAAATTAACACCAGCTTTGATGCTCATAAAATCGCCGAACTTACTGAGGTTACACCAGCCATTTATCCAGGAGACCTCAATGTGAAAATACCAGCGACAGCAGCAGCAAAAGAAAAACGTTTGCCGTTTGAGAGCATCGTTCAAAGCGAAACTATTGCAACAGAAACAGAAATAGAATTTCAAGATAAACAAGCCAAAACCGACACGGCTCGAATATCCGTCGATGAGATTATCAGTGCCACTATGTCTACTGAGATTTTAGGCGAAAAGGAAGATATTCTCCAAATTCCCGAAAAACCCACAGAGAAAAAAGCCGAGATTCAATTTGCCGGACATACTATTGCTGAGAAGAGCGAAGTCACTCCAAATTCTAGTGCTGGAGAATTAATAGAGACAAAACCGACTTCTATTTCAGCCATATTCTCGAATATTCCGTTAGAGGCAATAGTAGCAATGGAAACTCAGCCAACGGAAATGGAGACTATACTCAAGAAAGATAAAATACCATCGATGGTTCAAGCTGATCTTTCCATGATGATGGAACAAAGTGTACAGGTATCTTCGGTAATCTTAGATGATAAAGAAACAAAATATACGCCGAAAGAAATACCAAAAACAAAAACAGCAGAGAAAGCTCTAATCGAAACCCATGGCGTCGCCGAAACAACAATACAAATTGCTAATTTTAGCACTGGTGAAATTGCTACTGGCGAAGCACCACTGGTTGCCGTCGCAATTCCAGATCACGTAACTTTTAATTCACTGGTAGAATCACAATTTGTTATTCAAGAAGGAGAAGAGCAATTTACACCAGCATTAATGCCAGAAAATAAAACTGTAAACATCGATATGGAAGAAGGTAAAGTCATCGCGAGTATAAAACATATAACACCAGCAGATAAAGAATCGACATATATCGTCGAGGAGCAACCGCGTCAACACGCTGCTTCATTCGATATCGATGCCACTCACAGTATAGCAGAAACGACCGCGATAGCTATTGAACATTCTGTAGGAAAAGTAACCATCAAAAAGCCAGACGTTAAAACCGTATTACCTACACACGAAGTATATCAAAGTCTTTTAGTAACTGAAGACATGATTCAAGATCAAGAGAAACCTTTCAAAGGCAAATTCACGCCAGAAATACACAAAATAGAATTATCTGTCGAAGAAGGCAAGCGCGTCACCTCTGTTACGGAAATTAAAATAGCTGACAAAGAAGCTCCCCTTGAAACATTACGGGAAGATAAATCTCGCTTGGCACTCTCAATTATTGTTCCTGGTCACGAAGTCGCCGAGAGATCTGAAATAATTACCAGTTCAAATACAGGTGAAATGAACGAAGTTATAGTACCAACAAAAGTAACCGCGCTAATTGGTCAAAAACCGTTTGAGACAGTACAATTCTCCGAACAAACCTTAGTGGAGAAAGAAATAGATAGGATTCAGAAAACGCCATTGACAAAAACAAAAGCTCATGTTGTTTTAGATGAAAATAGATTCGTTGCCATTACAGAATCTATTAATGCTCAAGACATTGAAGAGGAATTTGCTACAAAGAAACTTCGCCATGAAGCGGCAAATCTTTTAATGGAAGGTAAAGAAGTAGCTGAACGAACGGAAATTAATTTACGCGAAGAACTCGGAGAATTACCTTCAGCAATGAAACCCATTATATGCGAAGCACATAAAACACAATCTGCTTTGGAAGGTATTGACGTCAGCGAAATGGTTCCTCAAGAGCAAGGTGCAATATTCACTGATAAATTCAAACCCGATAAGCGTAGCGCCGAGATTCGCTTCGTCGAAGGGAAAAGTATTACCGTAGATCATACCTTAACACAAGACAAAGAAGAAACGATGAATATTCCGAAATACGAAGAGAGTATGGCAAGAGTAAAATTAGCAAAACTTGGTATGGATATTGCCCAAAAGGCTCAAATATTTATTGAGCAAAATACTGAACCGATTAAACCTTTTGAAAAGGTACAAGCCGAAGCTCACATAAAACAAGACACACTTCAACCTATCATAGTTTATGAAGTTCCAAGTGCGGAAAGCGAACGTACTTTCGATAAGTATCCGAAGATAATATTTAGTACAGCTATGCCAGCATTCGAAGAAGGCCATGGTGTATTTATTACGGAGATAACATCTGCCGAAGTTGAAGCATCATTGGAAGAGAAGAGACATGAAATGTCGCGAACAGCTGTCGATACTATTGTTATTGAGCACGATATGATAGAGACCACAATGGTGGAATCACGAGTAGACGTATCTGAACAACCTTCAGATTATATTTCAACACCTCAAATTGCCACATCAGTTCGAGACATGTTTGAAAGCATTATTGTTAATGAGAATATTGTTGAAGAAAGCGAGAAGACTTTCGATGATCTTTTTAAACCTGCGACACAAAAAGCGAATATTGATATAATGGAGATAAAGCCATTACAGATTTCAGAAACAATTATCGAAGACAAGGAAGGGATGTTGAATATTATTTCAAAGCGAACTGAAGTCAAAGCTACATCAGATATTGATTTATTCCAAACTATTGAAAGTTCTTTCGTAGAAAGTATACAAAATACTCGAGAACTTCGAAAAGAAAAACCACTTTTCTCTCAAGCAACTATGATTCAGACTACGGTGGAACCAATAGTAAAGTCAGAAACAACACCAGCCGAAAGAGAAGACATTTTTGAGTGCAAATTCCAACCCGAAGGGCAGAAAGGCAAACCGCAATTCGAAAGTCTTACAACAGTTGTAATTACTGAAACAGCTTCTAATGAAATCGAAGATATCTTACCTGAAGCCGTTGCACCAAAACAACATCAGGCACAATTAAAGTTGACAGGCAGAGAAACCGCGGAAATCCTTCAAATAGTAACAGCGAATACAACCGAAGATTTTACAAAATCTATTAAATTATATGAACAAAGAGGTAAACCAGGACTCGAAGAATTGTCATCAGTAACTGTTTCCGAAATTATTTCCAATGAAGTTGAAAATCTTCTAGCTAGTAAAGTTATTCCAAAAGATAGCAAGGCTGATTTCAATATTTCTGGTAGAGAAGTCGCTGAAACAATTGAAGTAACAACATTATCTGAGACCAATGAACTTGCTACAGGAGGACTTGAAGAACAGAAAGGTAACCAACAAATCAATGAATTAATTCCACTTACTATTTCACAAGTAATTTCTAATGAGGCCGAAGAAACATTAGTTAGCGCTGAGCTTCCTGCGGGAAAAACAGCACAACCAAATTTGTTCGGTAGAGATATTGCGGAAACAACATTAGTTTTAACAATGACTAATGCCGAAGAACTCATTCCTATAAAAGAAATCGGAAAACAGAAGAAAGGTAAACCCAGTCTCGAAGAATTCATGCCATTAATAATTTCACAAACAGAATCTCAAGAAACTGAAAATGTTCTTAATAGCCCCAACATACCAACTGAGAGAACGGCGCAAACAAGTTTATATGGCAGAGACGTAGCAGAAACTACAGAAATAACGACTGCGTTAAGTCTAAATAAATTTGTTGAACTTCAAAAGCCCGAGATACAAAAGGGAAAACCAAATCTCGAAGAATTATTATCCTTAAGTATAACGCAAACTATATCTAATGAAGCGGAAGCTTTACTTCCTAATCCGGAAATGCCTACGAAAAAAATGGCACAAACTAATTTATCTGGTAGAGATGTAGCTGAAACTAGTCAAATTTTAACAATGATAAGCACAGAAGAACTTTCAAATCAAATATCACCTGACGAACGTAAAGGGAAAGTACAAATAGAAGAATTATCGTCCTTGACTATATCTCAAATATTATCTCATGAAACCGAAGAAACTTTTGAGAGTCCCATTGCACCTAATAGACTCACCGCGGTGCCTATGATGTCTGGTAGAGAAATTGCCGAGATCTCTCAGGTGCTTACTATCACAAATGCTGAAGAACTTTCGAGATCTAAAAGTCCAACAAAACAGAAAGGCAAACCACAACTAGACGAACTTTCCTCACTTTTAGTTTCTCAAGTAATATCTACAGAGACAGAAGCACAACTGCCAAGTCTAGAAAAATTAGAGGAGAAAACAGCCATACCATGTTTCTTAGGTAGAGAAATAGCTCAGAAAACCGAAATTATAACCGCTGTAACTGTAGAACAAATACCTGAATTGAAGGAAAAAAATGATCAAAAAGGAAAGCCAAGCATTGAACAAATGAGTTCTGTTACTGTGTCTGAGGTAATTTCTACGGACACAGAACAAGAATTAACGAGATCAGAGATTCCAAAACAGCGAAAAGCTCTTCCAAAACTACCCAGCATAGAAGTTGCGGAGACGTCAGAAGTTTTGACAGTGAGTAACGTTGAAGAGCTTGCAAGATCACAAGTTCCCGAAGAGCATATAGGTAAACCAAACTTAGAAGAACTAATGCCATTGTCGATTTTTGAAGTGTCTTATAATGAAGCAGAAAAAGAATTACTTACACCAGATCAACCAACTAAACAAATAGCCGAAAAAACTATGCTAGGCATGCGCGTTGCCGAGAAGTCGCAAGTATTTGCGTCGTTGACAACGGAGGAGATGGCAGAGTCAGCTAAACCTCTGATAAAAAAGTTAACACCAGAACAAATACCCTTTGAGAGTATACAACAAATTGAGTCAATTATTCATGAAAGCGAACGTTCATTTCTTCTCGATAAAAAGACACCAAGTACCACAGCCGAGGTTTCATTCGGCGTTTCTGAAGGCGTCGAAATTATTCAAGTAACCGCAACAGAGGAGGAAACAAAGGAAGTTGTCAAAAGCCTGGAAGAAGCAGTTAAACAGACAGCTGAGCAAAGAATGCAAAGTATTCACGTTGCAGAAAAATCTCAGGTCATTACATCTTCAACAACGGAAGGGATGATGGCATTTATTAAGCCAGAGACAAAGAAACTAATACCCGAACAAATACCGTTTGTAAGCATACAGCAAATTGAATCAATTCCCCACGAAAGCGAGCATTCTCTTCTTCCTGATAAAAAGACACCAAGTAAAAAAGCCGATATTTTATTCCGCGTTTCCGAAGGCATCGAAGTTTTCGAAGTAACCGCTACGGAGAAAGAAGCAAAAGAAGTAATAAAAAGTTTGGGAGAAACAAATCAACAAATAGCCGAGCAGAGCATGTTGAGCATGGGCGTTGCAGAACAGTCACAAGTAATTGCGTCGTCAACAACAGAGAACATGATTGAGTCCGTTAAGCCGGAAATAAAGAAAATAATACCAGAACAAATACCGTTTGAGAGTATACAACAAACTGAGTCGATTTCTCATGAAAGAGAAAGTTCGATTGTTTCTGACAAAGATACATCCATTGCAACGGTCGACATTACATTCCGCGTTTCTGAAGGCATCGAAGTTATTCAGGTAACCGCTACGGAAAAGGAAACGAAAAATATCATAAAAAGTTTGGAAAAAGCAACGGAACAGATAGCTGAGCAAAGCATACCGACTATGCGTGTTGCAGAACAATCTCAAACTATTACTTCATCAACAACAAAAGAGATGGTAGAATCAAAACCTGAGATAAAGAGAATAATGCCGGAACAAATACCATTTGAATGTATACAACTGATTGAATCAATTCCTCATGAAAGTGAACGTTCACTTCTCTTAGATAAGAAAGTACCAACTACAATGGCTGACGTTTCATTCCGTGTTTCCGAAGGAGTCGAAGTTATTCAAGTAACAGCTACGGAAAAAGAAACAAAAGAAATAGTAAAAAAAGTAGAAGAAGCAACTAAACAGATAGCTGAGCAAAATATACTGGGCATGCGTGTTGCAGAACAGTCTCAAGTAATTGCATCATCAACAACGGAAGAAATTATAGAGTTTGGTAAACCTGAAATAAAGACGATAATACCGGAACAAATACCGTTTGAAAGCATACAGCAGACCGAGTCAATTCCTAATGAAAGTGAGCATACGCTTCTCCCCGATAAGAAGATATTAAGTACAAAAGCCGATGTTTCATTCCGTGTTTCCGAAGGCGTCGAAGTTATTCAAGTAACTGCTACGGAGGAGGAAACAAAGGAAGTTGTAAAAAGTGTGAAAGAAATAACTAAACAAGTAGCCGAGCAAGGCATGTTAAGCATGTCCGTTGCTGAAAAAACTCAAGTAGTTGCATCATCGACAACACAAGAAATTATAGAATCTTCCAAGCCTGAAGTAAAGAAAATTATTCCAGAACAAATACCGTTCGAGAGCATACAGCAGATTGAATGCATTCCTCACGAAAGCGAACGTCTGCTTCTCCACGATAAGAAGACATCGAGTTCAATAGCTGATGTTTCATTCAGCGTTTCTGAAGGAATCGAAGTTACTCAAGTAACGCCTACGGAAAAGGAAACAAAGGAAGTCGTAATAAGCTTGGGAGAAGAAACTAAACAGATAGCCGAGCAGAGCATGTTAAGCATGCCTGTTGCAGAAAAAACTCAAGTGGTAGCGTCGTCGACAATACAGGAAATTATAGAATCTTCCAAACCTGAGGAAAAGAAAGTCATTCCAGAGCAAATACCGTTCGAGAGCATACAACAGATTGAAGCAATTCCTCATGAAAGGGAACGTTTGCTTCTTCCCGATAAGAAGACATCGAGTTCAATAGCTGATGTTTCATTCAGCGTTTCTGAAGGAATCGAAGTTACTCAAGTAACGCCTACGGAAAAGGAAACAAAGGAAGTCGTAATAAGCTTGGGAGAAGAAACTAAACAGATAGCCGAGCAGAGCATGTTAAGCATGCCTGTTGCAGAAAAAACTCAAGTGGTAGCGTCGTCGACAATACAGGAAATTATAGAATCTTCCAAACTTGAGGAAAAGAAAGTCATTCCAGAACAAATACCGTTCGAGAGCATACAACAGATTGAAGCAATTCCTCATGAAAGGGAAAGTTTGCTTCTCCCCGATAAGAAGACACCAAGTATAAAGGCCGATATTTCATTCCGAGTTTCTGAAGGAGTTGAAATTATCCAAGTAACCACTACGGAGAAGGAAACTAAAGAAATCATAAAAGGCTTGGAAGAAACAACTAAACAAGTAGCCGGGCAGAGCATGCTGAGTATGCCCGTTGCTCAAAAATCTCAAATGGTTGTATCATCAACAACAGAAGAGATAATGGAATCTATTAAGCCTGAAACGAAAAGAATAATTCCGAAACAGATACCATTTGAGAGTATACAACAAATTGAATCAATTCCTCATGAAAGAGAACACTCGCTTCTTCCAGATAAAGAAACATCAATCGCAACGGCCGATGTTACATTCTGCTTTTCTGAAGGTATCAAAGTTATACAAGTAACCGCTACAGAAAAGGAAACAAAAGAAGTTGTAAAAGACTTAGAAGAAACAATTAAACAAACAGCTGATCAGAGTATGTTAGGTATGCTCGTTGTAGAACAATCTCAAGTAGTTACATCGTCAACAACAGAAGAGATGATAGAACCTGCTAAACCAGAGATAAAGAAGATAATACCTGAACAAATACCATTTGAGAGTATACAACAAATCGAATCAATTCCTCACGAAACAGAAAATTTGCTTCTCCCCGATAAGAAAACGCCAAGTACAAAGGCCGATGTTTCATTCCGTGTTTCCGAAGGAGTCGAAGTTATTCAAGTAACATCCACGGAGGAGGAAATAAAAGAAGTTGCAAAAAGTGTGGAAGAAGCAACTAAACAAGTAGCTGAGCAGAGCTTGTTAAGTATGTCCGTTGCTGAAAAAACCCAAGTGGTTCCGTCATCAACAACAGAAGAAATTATAGAATCTTCCAAGCCTGAAGTAAAGAAAATTATTCCAGAACAAATACCGTTCGAGAGTATACTACAAACCGAATCAATTCTTCATGAAAGAGAAAGTTTGCTTCTTCCCGATAAGAAGACACCAATTACAAAAGCTGATGTTTCATTCCGTGTTTCCGAAGGTGTTGAAGTTATCCAAGTAACAGCTGCGGAGGAAGAAACAAAGGAAGATCTAAAAAGTATGGAAGGACCAAACAAACAAGTAGCCGATCAAAGCATGTCAAGTATTTCTGTTGCTGAAAAAACTGAAGTTTTTACATCATCAATAACAGAGGAAATTAAAGAGTCTTCCAAGCCCGAAGTAAAGAAAATTATTCCAGAACAAATACCGTTCGAAAGTATACAACAAATCGAATCAATTCCTCACGAAAGTGAACGTTTGCTTCTTTCGGATAAGAAAACACCAATTACAAAAGCTGATGTTTCATTCCGTGTTTCCGAAGGAATCGAAGTTATCCAAGTAACCGCTACGGAGGAAGAAACAAAGGAAGAAATAAAAAGTATGGAAGAACCAAACAAACAAATAGCCGATCAAAGCATGTCAAGTATTTCTGTTGCTGAAAAAACTGAAGTTTTTACGTCATCAATAACAGAAGAAATTAAAGAATCTTCCAAACCCGAAGTAGAGAAAATTATTCCAGGACAAATACCGTTCGAAAGTATACAACAAATCGAATCAATTCCTCACGAAAGCGAACGTTTGCTTCTCCCCGATAAGAAAACATTAAGTACAAAGGCCGATGTTTCATTCCGTGTTTCCGAAGGAGTCGAAGTTATCCAAGTAACCGCTACGGAGGATGAAACAAAAGAAGTCGTAAGAAGTGTGGAGGAAGCAACTAAACAAGTAGCCGAGCAAAGCATGTTAAGTATGTCTGTTGCTGAAAAAACCCAAGTGGTTCCATCATCAACAACAGAGGAAATTACAGAATTTTCAAAGCCTGAAATAAAGAAAATTATTCCAGAACAAATACCGTTCGAGAGTATACTACAAACCGAATCAATTCTTCATGAAAGAGAAAGTTTGCTTCTTCCCGATAAGAAAACGCCAAGTACAAAGGCCGATGTTACATTCCGCGTTTCTGAAGGCGTCAAAGTTATCCAAGTAACCGCTACGGAGGAGGAAACAAAGGATGTTGTGAAAAGTATAGAAGAAGCAACTGAACAAGTAGCCGAACAGAGCATGCTAAGTATGCCCGTTGCTCAAAAATCTCAAGTAATTACATCATCAGAAACAGAGGAAATTATAGTGTCTGCCAAGCCTGAGAAAAAGAAAATTATTCCAGAACAAATACCATTCGAAGGCATACAACAAATTGAACCAATTTCTCATGAAAGCGAACGTTTACTTGTTCCTGACAAAGGACTGATAAGCGCAACGGCTGATGTGTCATTCCGCATTTCCGAAGGAGTCGAAGTTATCCAAGTAATCGCTACGGAAAAAGAAACAAAAGAAGACGTAAAAAGTTTGGAAGAAATAACTAAACAAATAGCTGATCAAAGCATGTTAAGCATGACAGTTGCTGAAAAATCTCATGTGATTGCGTCATCATCAACGAAGGAAATGATGGAATTCGTTAAACCTGATGTAAAGAAAATAACAGCGGAACAAATACCATTTGAGAGTGTACAACAAATGGAAACGATTCCTCATGAAAGTGAACGTTCTATTATCGTTGAGAAAGTGGTAACAAGTGCTTCAGCCGAAGTTTCATTTCGCATTTCCGAAAGTGTTGAAGTTACCCAAATAACTCCTACAGAGAAAGAAGCAAAAGAAGTCGTCAAAGGTCTCGCTAAAGAAGTAAGCGCGCAAGCGGATATAATTGAACGAAAAGTTGCTCTGAAAACTGAAATTCATCCTGAAAATGTAGTATCGGAATTCAGTGTTCCAAAACCAGACAGTAAAACAGCTCATGATGTAAAAGATGAAAAGCAAAGTATAATTGTTACTGAATTGCAACACATTACTGAAATTGAACCAAATATATTCGAACCCATAATACCAATAGTACCAAAAATAGCAAGCACACTTTTTGAAGCCGACTACTTGGAAAAAATTTTAGGTAAGTATTATACGTATAGAAAGGTAACATGATAGATTGCATTGATAATTCACACGCGATGTTTGAAGAAATTCGATTCGATTAAACACAATAATCGTAACATTTAAAAAATCAAACAGATAAATTACATAAGTATATTAGTATTAGTATCTTTTATATTAATAAAAGAGGTAAAAAGAGGAATGTAATCAGAATACACAAATTAGGGATCTTTGGCACTTAATGCAAATATTTAACAAACTAATGTTCAATTTAACATTATGATCTTGTTATAGATTATCTCGGTAAGTACAGAACTAATAAAATACAGAGTTATAATTTACTGACATTTAGGTAAGAACACGTACTACCTTATATACTAGTCAACTAGCAGCTGATTTGCTGACCATGCTTCATATAATATCCACCATTCGAGTGATAAATTATAATAAAAAATTTGTCAATACATTGGCTGCGTTTAGCGGACTCAACAATTGAGTGAGCGCTCGCTGCTATTGGTGCATTCTTCCAGATCTAAAATACTGATTGGATGATCTAAAAGAATATACCAATAACAGCGAGCGCTCATTCAACTGTTGGGTCCGCTGAATGCAGCCATTACTTGCGTCTAATACGTTGTTAAACGTATTATAAATACTAATACAATATCAAAATTTAAATAATGCCGACAGTCCAACAAAACATTTTACATACAACAATTTAATCACATACCACACTTTTTTTGTGTACATTTCAGAAACTACAGAAGCATCAGAGCAACAACATCATATCACAGTCACACAACACACCACAATACACGAAACAAAACAACCAACAAATGAATCTGATACTGAAATAATTGAAGAATATACCACAAAATTTAAAACCGGTACTAAAGAAAATAAAATGGCAGCGATTAAAACAAAGAAAACTACAATTCGTAAAAAGAAACCAAAAACTAAATCAGAACAAGAAAAAATTGTAGTAATTGAAGAAGAAATAGAAGACATAGAACCACAAGTACCATTCATACCAAAAAAACAATTTATGCATATCGAAGAAGTAACAGGACAAATAGAAATAGAAGAAATAGTACCAACAAAAATTGAAGAATTAGAAGAAACAACTCAAAATCAAGAAGAAATACAAACGGTAGGACAAAACAATGGAGAAATAACAGTTATAGAAGAAAAACAATTATTAATAAGTACATCTATAGATAAACCAAAAGAAAAAATCGTTTCTCCTGTACCACATTCTAAATTCGTCAAACCTTTTGAACAAGAGGAAATGAGGAAACAAGTGACAGTGACTGAAGAGACAATCGAAGAAAAAAATCCGAAAAAGATCACTAAAAACAAAATAATTAAACGCAGAGGGCAGAAAGAGCAGGTGACGGAAGAGATAACAATAGATTCAAAGAGACAACAACCTGTAACAACAATTATTGAAGGTCCAGTACAAGAAATTGTCGAAGAAACTGTATTCCTTTTGCCACAGATTGAATTTGCAAAGCTCCTTGAAGAGGAGAAAATAAGAGAAACAGAGCAAGTTATAGTGATTCAAGAATTAATTGAAGGAAAAAAACCGAAAAACATCACTAAAAAGAAAATTATTAAATGTAAAGGACAGAAACAACAAGTGACAGAAGAGATAACAATGGAGGAAATGGGACAACTACCTGTAACAACAATTACAAAAGGTACAGTAGAAGAAACCGTCGAAGAAATTGTACTTCCTCCACTACAACCCGAATTCGCTGAGTCTCTTGAAGAGGGGGAAAATAAGGAGCAAGTAATAGTAACTGAAGAAGTAATCGAAGGAAAGAAACCGAAAAGAATCACTAAAAATAAAATAATTAAACAGAAAGAGCAGGTGACGAAACAAACAACTACAGAGGAACAGAGACAACCTGTAACAACAGTTACGGAAGGCACAGTAGAAGAAACCATCGAAGAAATTGTACTTCCTCCACCTGAATTCGCTAAACTCCTTGAAGAGAAAGAAATAAGGGAGCAAGTGACTGAAGAAGCAATCGAAGGAAAGAAGCTGAAAAAAATCATTAAAAAGAACGTAATTAAACTCAAAGGACAAAAACAACAGGTGACGGAAGAAACAACTATACAGGAACAGGGACAACCACTAGTAAAAGTTATGGAAAATCCGGTAGAAGAAACCGACGAAGAAACTATACTTCCTCTACCACAATTTGAATTCGTCAAGCCTTTTGAAGAAAAAGACATAAGGGAGCAAGTAGTAGTAACTGAGGAAATAATTGAAGGTGAAAAACCGAAAAAGATTACTACGAAGAAAATTATCAAACGGAAAGGACAGAAACAGCAGGTGACACAAGAAACAACTATAGAAGAACAAGGACAACTACCTGTAACAACAGTTACGGAAGGTCCGTTAGAAGAAATCGTCGAGGAAAGTGTATGTCCTACGCCACAATTCGAATTCACCAAGCCCTTTGAAGAAGAAGACGTAAGACAGCAAGTAACAATAACTGAAGAAATAATTGAGGATGAAAAACCGAAAAAGATTACTACGAAGAAAATTATTACACAGAAAGGACAGAAACAGCAAGTGACACAAGAAACAACTATAGAAGAACAAGGACAACTACCTGTAACAACAGTTACGGAAGGTCCGTTAGAAGAAATCGTCGAGGAAACTGTATGTCCTATGCCACAATCCGAATTCATCAAGCCCTTTGAAGAAGAAGACGTAAGACAGCAAGTAACAATAACTGAAGAAATAATTGAGGATGAAAAACCGAAAAAGATTACTACGAAGAAAATTATTACACAGAAAGGACAGAAACAGCAAGTGACACAAGAAACAACTATAGAAGAACAAGGACAACTACCTGTAACAACAGTTACGGAAGGTCCGTTAGAAGAAATCGTCGAGGAAACTGTATGTCCTATGCCACAATCCGAATTCATCAAGCCCTTTGAAGAAGAAGACGTAAGACAGCAAGTAACAATAACTGAAGAAATAATTGAGGATGAAAAACCGAAAAAGATTACTACGAAGAAAATTATTACACAGAAAGGACAGAAACAGCAAGTGACACAAGAAACAACTATAGAAGAACAAGGACAACTACCTGTAACAACAGTTACGGAAGGTCCGTTAGAAGAAATCGTCGAGGAAACTGTATGTCCTATGCCACAATCCGAATTCATCAAGCCCTTTGAAGAAGAAGACGTAAGACAGCAAGTAACAATAACTGAAGAAATAATTGAGGATGAAAAACCGAAAAAGATTACTACGAAGAAAATTATTACACAGAAAGGACAGAAACAGCAAGTGACACAAGAAACAACTATAGAAGAACAAGGACAACTACCTGTAACAACAGTTACGGAAGGTCCGTTAGAAGAAATCGTCGAGGAAACTGTATGTCCTATGCCACAATCCGAATTCATCAAGCCCTTTGAAGAAGAAGACGTAAGACAGCAAGTAACAATAACTGAAGAAATAATTGAGGATGAAAAACCGAAAAAGATTACTACGAAGAAAATTATTACACAGAAAGGACAGAAACAGCAAGTGACACAAGAAACAACTATAGAAGAACAAGGACAACTACCTGTAACAACAGTTACGGAAGGTCCGTTAGAAGAAATCGTCGAGGAAACTGTATGTCCTATGCCACAATCCGAATTCATCAAGCCCTTTGAAGAAGAAGACGTAAGACAGCAAGTAACAATAACTGAAGAAATAATTGAGGGTGAAAAATCGAAACAGATTATTATGAAGAAAATTATTAAACAGAAAGGACAGAAACAGCAAGTGACACAAGAAACAACTATAGAGGAACAAGGACAACTACCTGTAACAACAGTTACGGAAGGTCCATTAGAAGAAATCGTCGAGGAAACTGTATGTCCTATGCCACAATCCGAATTCACCAAATCCTTTGAAGAAGAAGACATAAGACAGCAAGTAACAGTAACTGAAGAAATAATTGAGGGTGAAAAACCGAAAAAGATTACTACGAAGAAAATTATTAAACAGAAAGGACAGAAACAGCAAGTGACACAAGAAACAACTATAGAGGAACAAGGACAACTACCTGTAACAACAGTTACGGAAGGTCCATTAGAAGAAATCGTCGAGGAAACTGTATGTCCTATGCCACAATCCGAATTCACCAAATCCTTTGAAGAAGAAGACATAAGACAGCAAGTAACAGTAACTGAAGAAATAATTGAGGGTGAAAAACCGAAAAAGATTACTACGAAGAAAATTATTAAACAGAAAGGACAGAAACAGCAAGTGACACAAGAAACAACTATAGAGGAACAAGGACATCGAATTCACCAAGCCCTTTGAAGAAGAAGACATAAGACAGCAAGTAACAGTAACTGAAGAAATAATTGAGGATGAAAAACCGAAAAAGATTACTACGAAGAAAATTATGAAACATAAAGAGCAAAAACAGCAAGTGACAGAAGAGACAATAGATAAAAAGAAAGAACTACCTGCAATAACAGTTACAGACGGTCCAGTAGAAAATATCGTAGAAGAAACTATTCTTCCACTATCTCATCCCGAATTTGTAAAACCTTATGAAAAGGAGGAAGTAAGGGAGCAAACAAGAGTAACTGAAATACTCGTTGGAAAAAAAAAACCAAAAAAAGTTACTAAAAAGCAAATTATTAAACGTAAAGGACGGGAACAAGTGACTGAAGAAGTAACTGTGGAAGAAAATGGAAAGTCACCCGTAACATCAATTACGGTTAGCCCAATCGAAGAAATTGTTGAAGAAACTTTATTACCTTTACATCCTGATTTCATCAAACTTATTGAAGAAGAAAATATGAAAGGAGATACATTAATCGAAAAGCTAGTAAAAGAAGAAAAACCAAAGAAGGTCATTAAAAAGAAAATTATTAAACAAGGAAGTACCAAAGGAATAATTATAGGCAATGAGAACAAAGAGGAACAGGGGGCAAAAATAACAAATCTTCACGCAGACACTATACCTGAAATACACATTAAATACGATGAAATGATAAAATCTAAAATCAGTAAAAAGACTTTGGAAGGTAAGTTTGGTTTTTACTTTTAGCGTTTACTAATCTTATGTCCTACTAAGACATACATCTCTCCTCTACAATTCATTTTATATACACAATGAACAGATACCTCATTAAAATTGAAACAAAGGAAAGATAAAACAACTATCGATTACTGTCTGATAATACTAATATTATACGTAATATTAATATTATTAAATCACTTATTAAAACACAATTATCAGTTAAGAAAATTTTTAGTAATTTTTTTTTAATCTGATGTCTTACCTTTGTTTTTTAGGTACCAGAGAAGAAGGGCTGTATCAGGTAAGCTAGAGAGAATACAAAAACTCGTTCTATTTAGTATATTATAACATATTTCTCGTAATCTCACCATATTTTTACAGGAAGAAGAATCAATTTATGAAATGCCTGAAGAAATTGTAGAAGAAGTTGTAACGAAAGAAATAGAGTTTCAAAAAGCTCAATTTCTTATACATAAAGAAGAATCGGTAGAAATTATAAAAATAGATCTTAAGGAAGCACCAATAGAAAAAGAGAAAATATCTATCATAGAAGAAAAAGAGAGTATTGAAAAGCCGATACAGAAAGATATTAAGACAAAAAAAGTACCCATGAAAAAGGATGAACATGTTAAGGTAATCGAGGAAATAAAATCAGAAGAAATGGTTGAAATGCCAGCCAAAAAAATAATTAAGAAGAAGGAACATATAATAGACACTGCTGACGCTCTTGAGCAAGTCGTAGAAGAAATTCGAACAGATATGCCAAAGAAGGAAAAGGCTAAAACTATCGTGGAAGACAGAAAAGAAACTGTTACAGTTATAAAAATAGATACACAGAAATCACTTGTTAAAGTATCTGAGGAAAAAATTGATGTTGAGAAAGAAGTAATAGAAACTGTTGAAATACCTGCAACAAAAATTATTGAAAACAGAAAATTAACAACAGATCAGCATGAAAAAATTGATCAGAAACTAATTGAAGATACTCAAATAATTGCTAAAGAAAAAATAGTCGAAACGCCGATAGAAAAGAAAATGAAGAAAAAAAAGGGAAAATCTCATGAAGATAATGTGCTACAAGAAATTGTTGAAAAAATTGTTTTAGATAAACCAGAGATGGAACAAGCTCAAACTGTATTCACTCCTAGAGAGAGTATCGAAGTTGTACAAATCTTAACTGAATCCTCTGTTACTAAATTTACAGAAGTTGAAGCTATACCAAGAGAAGCTGCGATGCACGAAATTAAAAAAGAAGAAAGCCCATTAAAGATAATTTTACGAGAAGAAACAAACACGATTCCTGTGCAGGAACAAATTACTATCGAAATTACTAAAGAAATACTGGACAAAAAACCAAAAGAAGAAGAAATAAAATTAACTATCATAACAAAAGAAGGAATCGAAGTTACTGAGGCAATTCCGGATACTTCTACTGAGGATCTTCTTGAAACGATAAAACCAGTGAAAGAAACGATACTGCCAGTGAAAGAAGAGGAACCACAAGTTGACATAAAAGAAGTTATTGTGAAGAAAGCACCGAAAGAGGTTAAACCAGTACATGCAAGTAAACAACAAGTTAAAGAAGAAATTGTCGAAGATATTACATTAGAAAAACCAACACAAGAAAAAGCGGAAGAAATAATAATTGCAAATGAGGAAATAGAAACCACGGAAATTATTTCCGAAATCACAACCAATGAAATTGATAAAAATAAAACACAAGAAGAGCAAATTACGTTAGAAGAGATAGATGATAGTGTAAAATCAGCTATAGAAGTGAAGGAAGACCGACCAGAGGAAGCAATAGAGGACATAAAAATGAAAAAGCCCAAGAAGGAAAAGGCTATAAAGGATGTACTTTTACAAGAAAGTGTTGAAATTTCAGAAGTAACAACAGAAATAGTACCTGAAGAATTCATCACGAAAAAGACATTTGCTGAAGAGGAAGCAGAATTAAGTGTTACACCAATAGAAATTGTTGAAATTACTAAAGTTAATCTAGCTGTAGCAGATGGCAAAATAACAAAAACGAAAAAAGCAAAACCTAGGAAGACTGACATTAAAGAAAAAAAAGAGAAAGAATTAGCTCCTATCGAAAAAGAAGAGGTCACTCGAGAAAAAAAACAGGAACAAGAAATAGTAGAAAAAGTAACATCCAGCCAACCTAAATTAGAACAAATAAAAATGGAGAAAGTTGCACTAAAAACTACAGAAGTGACAGAAATAATTCCCGAAGTTAAAATGGAAGATACTTTAAAGGAGAAAAAACCCGAGGATGAATTGAAAGAAGTAAAAACAATACACCCCGAAGAAATAAAAGAATTTGAAAAACCAAAAGAAGAAATTACGTCTACTGCAGAAGAAAAACCAATGGAGCTTAAACTTATTGAGAAGATAAAAGAAAAGAAAATTATAAAGAAAAAGAAGAAGAAAATCGTCAAGAAAGATGATATAGAGGAATGGATAGAACCTGAGTATGAAAGACCTGTATTAGAGCCAATGCCTGAAAAAATTCAATGGGAATCAATGAAAAAGAAAAAAGAAAAGAAAATATTGCCTGAATCTGTGCAAAAATTAGTTCCACAGAAAATTGAAAGAAAAGAAATCAAACCTACAAAATTAAAATATATTGAACCAATGCAAGAAACAGTCCAATTTGGCACAATTAAATTGAAAAAAGTACCAATAGTTAAGAAAAAAGAAATAATTGAACCAATATTACCTAAAATTATGTTACGAAGTAGAATTACATTTATCGATGACTATCCGGCACAATTACAAATACCAAAAGTTACGTTTATAGAAAAAAATCCAATACAAACTGGCATTTTATCTAGAAATACAGAAGAAGCACTACAAGTTCTAAAGAAGAAATATAAAAAACCTAAAGTCTTAGAGAAAGATTTGATTGAATTAGAGAAATTAGATAAAGAGTTTGAAGAACTAAAAAAAGTTCCTTTGGAACAAATAGAAGATAAATCTATTTATGAACGTACACCCAAGAAGTCGCAGAAAACGTTCGAAGAACCACAAAAGCTCATTACTGGAAAAGGTGAAATAAAACAAGAAGATAAAATTATACCGGAAGAGATCAAACTAAAGAAAATACCGATAAAGAAACTAGAACAAGTAACAGAAAATAAAGAAACGCATAAAATAAAAGAATCCATAGAAGATACGCCTATAAAGAAAGAACAACAACCTCAAGAAACATTCACATCTGATGAATTCAAACCAACAAAATTTGATAAGTCAGAAATTGAAAAATATATACCTGAAGAATTCGAAATAACCGAGAAACCAGAAACTGAACCTGACTCAAAATCATATAAACCATTTAAGAGAAAAAAACCTGAACAAGATATGGAGCAAATTCCTTTAATAAAGGGTATACCAAAACCACAGGAACCTGAAGAAGAACCCGAGATCAATTTTCGAATACCAACTTCAGAAAAACCCGAAGATGAACCTGAAACAATAACTTTAAAAGGCTGGACAAAAAATAAACCCGAAGAAGAAAGCACAGAAGAACAGCCAACTAAGGAAAAAGATATTACACCAACGACGCCCAAAGACATTATTGATGACTTTACAATAAAACAGAAGAAAAAACAGAAAAAGATCAAAGAGAAAGAAATACAATCACAGGACAGTAGTGAGCATACTATGTTAAAACATATTCCTGAAGAAAAGCAAGAGATACCAACAGAAGAATTAATTGTAAAAAGAAAGAAGTCAAAACCGGAAGAAAAGCAAGGCGAATTAGATAATTCTCAAGAAGTGTTATTAAAAAAACCAAAGCAGTTTGTTCAAGAAAAAATAGAAACTGAAGTATCAATTACAAAACCGATTACCAAGGAGAAAAAAGAAGATGCCAAAGAAATCACTGAAGAAATTACAGTAAAGAAAAAACCAAAGAAAAAGTCCGTAACCGACGAACCTGCTGCTGAAATAATTGTAAAAAAACTCGGTCCAAAAGAGGAAGAACAAATGCCGGAAGAAATCTCTGAAAAAGTGATACTAAAGAAACCAAAAGAAGAATCTATCAAGGAAGAAGTCGCTGACGAAGTAACGATCGAAAAATCAATTACTGAAAAAAGAAAAGAAGAAACTGAGGAAGTTACGTTGAAAAAGAAACCTAAGAAAAAGCCCGTTACAGAGGAATCTGCTGCAGAAATAACTGTAAAGAAACCCGTTCCAAAAGAGGAAGAGCAAGTACCGGAAGAAATCTCTGAAAAAATGATACTAAAGAAACCAAAACAAGAAATTCTCAAGGAAGAAATCGCAGATGAAGTGACAATTAAGAAACCGATTGTCGAAGAAAGAAAAGATGTAAAAGAAGTCACCGAAGAAGTTACGTTGAAAAAGAAACCAAAGAAAAAGCCTGTTATAGAGGAATCTGCTGCAGAAATAACTGTAAAGAAACCCGTTCCAAAAGAGGAAGAACAAGTGCCGGAAGAAATCTCTGAAAAAGTAGTACTAAAGAAACCAAAACAAGATATTCTCAAGGAAGAAATCGCTGATGAAGTGACAATTAAGAAACCGGTTGTCGAAGAAAGAAAAGATGTAAAAGAAGTCACCGAAGAAGTTACGTTGAAAAAGAAACCAAAGAAAAAGCCTGTTACAGAGGAATCTGCTGCAGAAATAACTGTAAAGAAACCCGTTCCAAAAGAGGAAGAACAAGTGCCGGAAGAAATCTCTGAAAAAGTAGTACTAAAGAAACCAAAACAAGATATTCTCAAGGAAGAAATCGCTGATGAAGTGACAATTAAGAAACCGGTTGTCGAAGAAAGAAAAGATGTAAAAGAAGTCACCGAAGAAGTTACGTTGAAAAAGAAACCAAAGAAAAAGCCTGTTACAGAGGAATCTGCTGCAGAAATAACTGTAAAGAAACCCGTTCCAAAAGAGGAAGAACAAGTGCCGGAAGAAATCTCTGAAAAAATAGTACTAAAGAAACCAAAACAAGATATTCTCAAGGAAGAAATCGCTGATGAAGTGACAATTAAGAAACCGGTTGTCGAAGAAAGAAAAGATGTAAAAGAAGTCACCGAAGAAGTTACGTTGAAAAAGAAACCAAAGAAAAAGCCTGTTACAGAGGAATCTGCTGCAGAAATAACTGTAAAGAAACCCGTTCCAAAAGAGGAAGAACAAGTGCCGGAAGAAATCTCTGAAAAAATAGTACTAAAGAAACCAAAACAAGATATTCTCAAGGAAGAAATCGGTGATGAAGTGACAATTAAGAAACCGGTTGTCGAAGAAAGAAAAGATGTAAAAGAAGTCACCGAAGAAGTTACGTTGAAAAAGAAACCAAAGAAAAAGCCTGTTACAGAGGAATCTGCTGCAGAAATAACTGTAAAGAAACCCGTTCCAAAAGAGGAAGAACAAGTGCCGGAAGAAATCTCTGAAAAAGTAGTACTAAAGAAACCAAAACAAGATATTCTCAAGGAAGAAATCGCTGATGAAGTAACAATTAAGAAACCGGTTGTAAAAGAAAGAAAAGAAGATATAAAAGAAATCACCGAAGAAGTTACGTTGAAAAAGAAACCAAAGAAAAAGCCTGTTACAGAGGAATTTGGTGCAGAAATAACTATAAAGAAACCCGTTCCAAAAGAGGAAGAACAAGTGCCGGAAGAAATCTCTGAAAAAGTAATATTAAGAAAACCAAAAGGAAAATCTCTCAAAGAAGAAATCGCTGACGAAGTGACAATTAAGAAACCAATTATCGAAGAAAGAAAAGAAGATGTAGTTGAAGAAATTACTTTAAAACCTAAACCAAAAAAGGAGATGTTCGAAACGGAAGAAATGTCGGAAGTAACTATTGTGAAACCTGTAAAAGATAAGAAAGTAGAAGAAATTACAGAAACATCTGCAGAATTAAGGGAAAAAGAACCAGTATCAGAAATTAAAGATCTAATTACGGAGGAATTAACTATTCAGAAAATCGAGATTATAGAACAACCTGAAGACGTAATTGGAGAATTTACTTTGAAACGCAAACCACCAAAAAAAGCTCCGAAACCAATTGAAGAAATTTATGAAGATGTTACTTTACGTAAATTACGACCAAAGAAAAAGTCTAGACCAGATATCAGAGAAGTTACTGACGTAGAGAATGTAACATTTAGACCACGTTCTACAAAAAGAAAAGAGGATGTAGAACAAGAATTTAAAATTTCATTAAATACATATGAAGAAGAAGATATTTCTATGTCCGGTAAAGTGCGTCTAAAACCAAAAAGACGGCCGCTTACATATTCTGAAGAGACTGGAGAGGAAACAATCAAAATCATTCAAGAAATCGAAGATTTTGGTCCGGTTATCGAAGAGGTCATCAATGAATCGGAAGAAGAAGGGAAAGAAGAATATAGTATCGAAGAGCTTGATATCGACGAAATGAATATACCGCTGAGACGAAAGAAGAAGAAACAAAAAGCTCCATATACTGTAGAAGAAATTGAAGATGATGTTAAACTACATTTGAATCGTGATAGAAAATACTCATACGAGGAAACAGATACTGAATCTTTGGCGCTGAAGTTGAAAAGCAAGAGACGTATTTCTACATTCGAAGAAGGTTTGCAGATGGCACACATTCATGCTTTATTAGCATCTATTAATAGAATATGTTTTCACTTATAATAATAATTAATGTAATTTAATAATTATTTTGACCCTTGTGAGAATGAGTATGTATGCTTTATTCTCGTGCTTTGCTTTTCCTTTCCTTCGCTTAATTGCTGTATTTTCTTGAAAAAGTTTTTTTTTGCCTATTATCCTCAAGTTTTTCGCTACAAATGAAAAGCTGCGTATGAAAAGCATATCGGTAGTTACATATTATAATTATACCTTTTAATATAATAACTAAAGATTTATTTACCTAATTAATATAAAAAGATCCCATATTCAGATCAAAATAGTACAGACTCATGAGCAAACAGATTCTCTGCTTATATAAAAGCTGTATCCGCTTAAAAAACTCTTCGCTATGTTATGATTGTACTATAATTATAAGTTTCATTCATTTTATTTTGATATTTAATATATGTATATTTACAGAAGAAGCTTCTCTCAGTATTACTAAAGAAGAGGAAATATCCGAAGAAGGTTCGTTTTAATGATATCTATTTACGTTAATGTAAAATATAATATTTTTTGTTATATTCCATTTTAAATAACTTGTTAATGCCTTTCAGTCGAGGAACTTGAATATGTTGTTCGGGAAGGTGATACAATGTTTTCAATTTGTTCTTACATTGCTGAAACAGAAGAAGCTATTAATTTAGTAGAAGGGGAAAAAGTTTATATTATCGGTAAGATCTGTACTCTTCTCTCTCTCATAAAATGTTACCACTAACGCATGCACACATGCACGCACGCACACACCCACACATACGCACACGCACATATACATTCACTTGATTCATATTCCATATACAGGGTGTTTCCAAATTAAATGGCAAAACTTCGGGAGCGTGTAGAGGAGTAAAAAACTAAGAAAAAAAGTCCTATAGACATATGCTCCTTTTTGCTTTGTTTCGCAGGAAATCACGAAAAAAGAAAAAAATATATTTAATTTATTATTTTAATTATTTTATTTATAAACTTTTTAATGAAGATTTTGTTCGAAATGTGCACCTCTTGCAGCAATACAAGCATTGCATCTGTCAAACACGGCTCTTGTAGCAGCCAGGCACTGT